AACTTGAAAAGCATTAGATGCCATAAATACCAATGAAAAACTCTCTTTTGCGCACACACACATTTCAGCTGTTAAATGAAATGTCAGACCTTCAATACAGTAAAGTGGGTTTCAGAGAAAACAGGCAAGAACTCTACAACTATTTAATATATAACTTTTCTCTGTGTACTAAAGTATGAAGGCCTGTGGTAGATTTATTTAGCATGAGTGATTTGTTTATTTATAATGAATGAATGGCTTTCCTTTCAATGCAGTGTCTACATGTGAAAAGATCTCCAACCTCAAGTAAGTGAAATTGTTTTATAGATAATGTTATGCTTCCTTTAACATAACTTCTACATTCAATAAATCCTCAGAAATATGTTCAGAGGCACTGAACCGGCATCATGGCCAGAAAAAAAAAAACACTAGTTAAAAGTAGTTTGTAACAAAAACATAACCACCTTCTGTACACAATCAGGTCAATTCTGCTTGTACCATTTTCACTATAGGATGTTGCTCTTTTTTCTCAGAAAGGCGTCGCTTTGAAATACTCCTAAAGCGGTATGACAGAGACTCCTCCAACCCAGTCCTGCAGCCAAACCTGCTGCAAAACCAGCTTCATGAAAAAACAATTATGTCCAGGGGGCCACTTCTTCATGACAGGATGCCTAAACAAAGCACACACCAAAATTGACATATATTTATTTGGAATATTGCTTAGCCGATACTTTCTCAAAAAGGATCAGAACTGTCATTGGGGTGGTACCTTTTCAAAAGATACTAATATGCATTATGCACTAATAATATGAAGGTGTAAAATACTTATATTTACCTTGATGATCCTAATATGTACCTTTCAGGGAAAAATAAGATATAAAATTGTACCTATTAGTTGTTGCACCTTAGGGTGTTGCCCCAGAGACAGCTTTGCATCTTTTTCAGAGAGAAAAATCTGCTATTGGTATATGTAAATTATTCTAATGCAGAGGCAAGTTTCAGACTAGACTGTTTTTTTATTAGCAATACACTTTAGCTATAAGTATATGCACATTTTAGTTGCATCAGATACAAAAAGCAGCATATAAATAGAGAACAGCCAAGACAATATTAAGCAAACATAGGCAAAGATCGCTAATCATACTTTACCAACAGACACAAACGAACAAAGACCTTATGTTCAACATTAAAAGTATGAAGTGTGTTTAGCTGCGGTCACTGAAATGAAAATGTGTGCATGATTTATAATTTGCATAATTACCTGGAGAACATGGCTTCTTTGGCAAAGTCAAGCTCTTCTGGTCCCACCTCCACCATTTTACCAGTCAAAGTGAGTCTAGCACACCTGGGGTCCTCAGGGTCATAAACCTGCTTCCTGTCACAGGAAAATGTAGTCAGAAGACAAAATGCTTTAGATGATCATTATACAATGATCTCTGTCAAATATATTTTTGTTTTGATATGTAAACATGACTTAAATGTAAAGGCTTCTCACGCCAGTTATTTCAGAGACATACCTGCAGAAATCTCCCTCTGCCTCAGAAAACGTTTAAGGAGGCAAAAGGGAAGCTGCGAAGATCCGTTACAGTGTTGTCCATCGGTGTCACATAAAAATAAGGAACGCCAGTGCTGTTGTCAGCTGGACCGTCGCTTACAGAGACAATGTTTCCAAAAGGAAGTCCTTTAATCTAAAAAGATGATGGGGAAAGAAAACAAGCTAAATTAAAGACATTTCATACATGCCTGTAATAAAACAAAACAAAAAGTTTATGTACTTGATTAGTGATAATGACTGGCTGAATGTACCATACTTTATTCCTTAAGATTGTAATACACTTAATACAGTGGTTCTCAACCTTTGTCCGCAACAATATTCCCATGACTTCTTTAAGTCGTACATGATTTACTGGATAAGGAGTTTTTCCAAAGCATTTTATTCAGTTTCTTCCTGATAAAGTATTTTTTAGCGTTTGGCATAACTATAAATTTTTTTTACATTTGTTATAAAAAAGCCAATGGTTTAAGATTTAATAATTTACAAGACTTTTCCAGGTCTAGAAATCACTATTAATAGGCTACCTCATATATTATCCAGGTTTTCCAAGACAGCAAGAACCTGTGGCCAGCTGTATAAACAATTAACAACTAGTTTGACTAACTAGTAGTTAAACAAGTGGTAATCAATCTTACTATTAGAATTCAAATTAGACCAATATAAGTTTTTATGTAACTGACTTAAAGTTACGACTAGAAAAAAATGAGATGAGAAACTTTTAAGACTAGTCTAAGCAGTTTATGCAGCCAGCCACTGGATCTTCAAAGAAAATTGTTGCAGTTGTTGAAGAGGTTAATTAAAATTAATATCTTGATTGATTTGTAATGTTTATTTTAAATCATTTAAGTCATCTTGAGGTCCTTAAAAGTCTGCTGAGGCCCCCTGGTGGACCCCCTTGTTCAGAACTGAAAAAATAGATCAAAGCTGCAAGTGAACTTTGCATTAAAGTAGATTAAATCCAACCTAGTAAACAAAGCAGCACCTGCTCCTGTGTGGAGATGGTAGCCAGGTGACCCCAGTCGCTGTAGTGCGCCATGTATCACGCTACTCTCGCCGTCTCCTCGTGCGGCGGAGGCGCAGCGACGCTAGACGGCAACTTCACCTCCTCCATCCGGTACGAAAACACACGGGACGCGGAGGACACGTCCTCGCTTTTCGATATCTGCTCGGGTTTCTTCTCTGAAGCGTCCCGGTACACAGAGGACGGATAGGCTGGTTTCCAGATCCCGATATTATCGACGAGCACAGCGGGCGCCTCGTCGGTGTGCGTGTCCAGCTCTTCCTCCTCCGCCGCATCACCGGCGACAGCCCACGACACCGCGCTCCGGATCGTGTAACTCTCGCCGACACACAGCAGCGTCGTCAGTACAGAGACGAGATGAAGCAGCAGCATTGCGTTCACATTCACTCGCGCTGCGCCCTCTCTAACTTCTTCTTCTTCTTCTTTGGTGTTTATTGGCGGTTGGCAAACCAACTTGTAAGTGCATTACCGCCACCGACTGGACTGGAGTGTGGAACAGAATACGTGCTTATGGGATTGACATAATGCGAGGAGAAGAAAAAAAAAAAACATTATTCATTTTATTAATAATAAAATAAATATAAAAAAATAAAATAAATAAATAAATAAATAAAATAAAATAAAAATAATAATAATAAATAAATAAATAAACAGATTTTAATAATAATAATAAAAAAATAATAATAAAAAAAATAAAACTTTTTAAAATTATTTTACTTAACTTCGTTTCTTTAATAAACTTAATGATGTAATCATATATAGCCTTTTCCCCTAGAATACCAGTTATAGAGAAGTCTTTGTGATCAACCTTCTTTAATGACTGAATAAAATGGCATCTTTCTTTGTTGTATTTCCTGCAATGAAGCAGTACATGTTCAACTGTTTCTTGCTGACTACAATAAATACATTCCCCAGTTGCACTCTCCTGTCCATTCACAGTCCAGCTGTTGCCAACCACCTTGGGACTCGACATCTCCTTCCCACCCCTCGGTCCGAAATCTTGATTCGCGTCCGCCCTCTCTAACTGCATGTTTATTTCGCCACCATGGGTATGGCGTTACATCTTCTTCTTGTACGATTTTATGGCGGTTGACAAGCCAACTTATGGTGTATTACCGCCACCAACTGGACTGGAGTGTGAAGCATTAACGGGAAAGAGGGAAAAAGGAACCCAAAAAAAACTTTAAAAAAAAAACCCATTCCATAAATAAATAAAACAACCGGTAGTATTATTATGACATTTAAATTCTACTTTCTAATCCTGTTATCTTCAGATAACTAAGAATTTCTCTCATAGTACTTGTCTGTCCTGAGGCACAACTTAAAAGATTTGATATAGTGAAATTAATTACTCCTATGTTTATATGGCGTTACATGATAGTGGCCTGAAACTTTGTTGCGTCTGAAACAGCGACACCGGCTGGACCGCCTGAGAACCGCAGCGGGTGACCTTCATCTCTGCTGTTACATGTACCCCACTGTAAACTAAACATCGTTTCCACAAAAACACTGGGGTAATTTGATATTCCAATAGTCGTCTTATGAGATAAATTTACCAGTAAAATGTACATAAAAATTACATAAAGTCAATATTGATAAGACAATAAATATAGAATAAACGGGATTTTTTGTATTGATTGTAATCTGTCAATACCAAAAATTACCATGGTATCAAGAATTTGGCAATTTGTCATACCAAATGTGGTATTTTTATGGTGGTATAAATGTGGGATAATTATTTAATTTGTAATGAAATGAAATAAGTATGGTGGTAATTTGGCATACAATATTTTTTAAATAGGTAACATTAAAAATAAACAAAAGAAAAGAAGAAAATAGAATCTTTTAATACAAGTTTTTAATACAATTGATTGTATTCACTCATGCAAAAATTACCATGATATCCATCATTTGCCATTCCAAATTAAGTATTGTTGGTGGTGATTTCACACACACACACACACTCTGGTCAGCTATCCTTGTGGGGACTCTCCATAGGCGTAATGGTTTTTCTACTGTACAGACCGTATATTCTATTGCCCTACACCAACCCTACCCCTAAACCTACCCCTTACAGGAAACTTTCTGCATTTTTAGATTTTAAAAAAACTTAATTCTGTATGATTTATAAGCTTTTGTAACCGTGGGCACCACAATTTAGGTCCCCACCGTGACACGAGTCCCCATGAGTCTATGTGTAGTCAGGTTTAAGTCCCCACCAGGATATATAAACCAGTACACACACACACACACACACATATGATGGTAACACTAGAATAAAAATAAAATAAAGATAGTAGTTATTTTTGTTGTTGTGTTATTGATATTTTTGATGGTAACACTAGAATAAAAATTAAATAAAGATAGTAGTTATTTTTGTTGTTGTGTTATTGATATTTTATATTCATGATCAATTCTAAACCACATGTCCCAGATTTAGTAAGATGAATTTATTGGTGAAGGAATTGGAGTTGGTATTTTCAAAAGCAAGCTCAGAGTAATTTGAAATATTCTTACAGTCACATAATTTAACATTTAACATAAAAGAACAGAAATCTTCAAATCTAATAGGTGCCAGAAAATCAACAGGTGATATAATGTCACAATACATACAAATTCTTGGATTGAATTTATGCAAATAAATAAAATTTGTCATTGGAAAGGAAATAATCATACTAATCATTTTCACACGAAAACAATGATACAATGTGTTAAACCTGAGAAACATATTACATATTGCAACATATTACATGGGAGACCGTTATTGTTTTTGTGTGTCTGCACACGTGTGAGTAGGTAAAACATATGGTACCATCTATTTCTCTTCCTGAGATCTCACTCAGGGTGCTTTTGATTGAGTCTCAACCTGAATTTGTTTCCCTCCCCTTCCATCTCCGATCTACTTTCTCACTCAGTTCTGTTGTGCTGCACTGTGGTGCATTTACAAAATACATTACCAGCAGCTGTTAGCCAGTGTTGCAAGAGAACATGACTTCACTCTCAAAATATTAACTTCTCCTTTTTGTTTCGTTGGTACCTATCTGCTGTGCATACATTCATACTTCACATGGAGAGAACGCAAGCAGCTCACGTGAGGTTTTAGAAGACAAACACTATTAGGAGGTTTACTGACTGATGAATGTGCAACTTTCCCTCATTAATATACATAAGCAATAGTGGTTCACTTCCAGAACACACTGCTTTAACATCAACTTCAAAGTCTACTGAAGTTCACATGAAGCAAACCTCTGACTGCATGGATGCAACTTCAGGAAACGCTAGCCTGAAAATGCCCTCAGATCCTGCAACCTCAGCATCCAACTCTGAATATTTCTTTCTTGCACTCGTAAACTCTTCTTCCATGTCTGTTTTTTTAGTCCATAGTCTTATCACTCCATGCCAGGGATTTCCTCTTGGCCAGCTCCATCCAGGATGGTTGGGCAGTGTCACGGACAGACTGCAGAGGAGATGATGAAGGTGATGATGGTGGCGTTGATTTCTGCTGCCATTTATCCTCTCTGTCTGCTGACCTCGTGGGACCAGGAGAGACTGATGCTTCTAGAAATATCGACACCATATATGAGCATATACTTCAATTGTAGCTGTCATGTAAAACTGATATTGTGTAACCCACTTACGCATTGACAAACTTGAGTCGAATCCTGTGCCTATGCCTGAGAGCTTTGAGATCGGTCTGAGAGGAGCTGAAGATTGAGATGTGGTTTGGGACTCTGCTGTGGACTTCGACTCACCTGTCTATCAAAATCAGTAAAGAGGAAATCTGAAACAATTGACAAAGCAAAACACCAGAAACAGAACATACTGTACTAAATATTATGAGCAAATAGTACACGTGTCCCCTCCGTGAAGAGTCCTTTATTTTAATTTATAAATATATGATTCATATTAATAATTAAAACTCAAATGTCAACATGGCTTACAAATATCCAAGGGATAAGACACCATGTGGTATTTTTTTTCTTGTTTAAAAAAAAAAAAGTTTTTATTTTTATAAATGGTAATTATCAAAGTCTTTAGATCTCCCTGGATTATTAATTTCTTATTTTGTGATTTTTGATTTGCAGATATATTTGACTGTATTATGATATTACCTGTCCTAACTAATCATACTGTTCAAATGTTTGGGATCATTACAATTTTTTCGGGCAGAACTATCCCTTTTATTAAAGGGATAGTTCACCCAAAAATGAATATTCTGTCAATAATTACTCACCCTCATTTTGTTCTAAACCCGTAAAACCTTCGTCCATTCGGAACATAAATTAAGATATTTTTGGATGAAATTTGAGAGCTTTCTGACCCTGCACACAGTAGGTAGCAACGCAACTGACACGTTCTGAAGTAGAACATCCATCTCTCTTAGTTCATTGTCTGCATATTCTGGTTCGAATAAGTAAGGATGAAGTCATGTCGAAATCTTCAGACATGTTTACAAAGACTGTTTTATGTGCATCTTCCTCTGCTTGTAAACAAGCAGAGGGTTCCACGTCAGAACGCTGGCTCCTGCATCAGCAGCACCACACACATGCGCCATGGTACTGTTGTGAACGCGCATTAAAGACTGACACAGAAGAAGAAATTGTTGAATAAAGTCATTATTTTAGTTTTCTTTGCACACAAAAAGTATTCTCGTAGCGTCATAAAATTACGGTTGAACCCCTGATGTCACATGGACTATTTTAATGATGTCCTTACTTCCTTTCAGGGCCTTGAATGATTCAGTTGCGTTGCTGTCTATGCAGGGTCAGAAAGCTCTCGGATTTCATCAAAAATATCTTAATTTGTGTTCTGAAGATGAACGAAGGTCTTACGGCTTTGGAACGACATGAGGGTGAGTAATTAATGACAGAATTTTCATTTTTGGGAGAACTATCCCTGTAAGTAAGGATGCATTATGTTGCTGAAAAGTGACAGTAAAGACATTTATAATGCAACAAACGTTTTCGATTTTAAATAAATGCCGTTCTTTTGAACTTTCCAATCATCAAAGAATACTGAAAAAAAAGGTATCACGGCTTCCACCAAAATAAGCTGCACAACTGTTTTCATGGTAGTGTACTGTAAATAATATCACTGAGCATTTTTTTTTACCTGAAACAAGTTCAGTAATTTGAAATAACATTTATATTTTAAAAATCCAATTTTTCAGTTGTCATACACTAATTAGTATTATAATATTCCCTGATCTCACAGCAAACCAATTTTGTATGATAGCTACCTGCATCAGTATTAGCATTTGTTATTTGTGTTAACTTTTCACCAACATCCAATAAATAAAGTAAAAACATAACATAAATGTGATATTAGTTGAATTTACAAACTAAAAAATGTTATATTACGGACATGAACACGTTTAATTCTGTCGTGTGACCCCCACATGTATTTACCCTAAAGTCATTTTTCTGAACAAAAATGTGCTTCCAAACTAGTTTCGAAGTATTGAAATAGAATTTGTGTACTAAAGTTAAACAAAAAAGATTATTGACACTTGTGAAATTTGATTAATAATTAGCATTTCCATCTGCTAAATCAGTCAACATTTTGATGCTCTAAACATTTTTAGAGCATGCAAGACAGATGGAAACTTGACTAGTGTGAAACAAACACTCCTTTTTCTGAGGCTGAAGTAAGTGTCCTTTCTCTGGTTTATATATGACTGAATAAACTGAGTGTGTTTGGAGATTACATAAACAATAATACCTTGGTTGCAGCAGTTGTTTGGTTCTCCCAGCGCTGTAAGAGTGAGGTCTTGTTTCCTAATCCTGCTGCCCACACTGGTCTGCCATCTTCAGGCCCGGTCCCTTTCCCCTGAGATGCAGACGCCCTGTCAGCTTTCCCTGAGATTACACTGGGCTCTCCCCCCTCATTCTGAGGCTGATCCTTTGAGATAGTATTGGCAGACGGTTGGGACGTTAACTCTGGGCTTGACGACAGATGTGGGTAACCTGGGGGTGCTGTGGGACTCAGTATAGCTTGTGTGGGGGTCTGTGATGCTGCTCGCAGTGGTGATGACGGCTGGATGGGTGGTGTCTGTGGTGCCAATGCTTGTGATGGCTGTTTTGCTGTGTTTACAGCAGTGGATTGCACATTCAATGTGCATGTAACTGTAGACTGGGTTGGTTTTGTTGTTGAATTAAACATTTGAGTCTTGGACTGAAACTGGACTTCTCTGGTACTGTCAATCTGAGTCTGATTTGAATTTGAAGGTTGGTTTTTTGTTGTTCCAGTCTGAGTTTGCTTCAACTGAGTGGCAGATTGTGTGGATCTTCCAGAATGCTGTGCAGATGGCAGCAGTTTTGTTTCTGTAGGTCTCAAAAGAGGTTGTGTAGTCATCGGCTGGCTTGAAATGTTCTGTGTGATTCTTGGATTGGCTTGTGAAGTGGATGTTTGGGTTTGTGGTTGTGTTGTAGTCAAGGTTGTTGGTCGAGATTGCAAGCTAGGAAACTCAGGCAGTCTACTGGTAAAGAGCTGTTGGAGACTTCTGGTCTTCTCTCTGGCCATCTCCATCCAGGACACCTCTGAAGCAGTAGATGTTGGTGGGTTCTCCTGAGAGGATACCGCTGTAGTCTCTTCTGGAGGCAAGCCTGTACCTTCTTTAGCTGGTGAAGGTACAATCTTAGTGGATTTGCTGGCTGATGATGAGGGCTGAGAAGGTTCTGAAAATGCAGAATATTTATTTATCAAAATACCATTCATCTCAGTTGACCAATCGAAAGCAGTGACTTCTCTGTGAGCTGTGTTTCATGCATCGCAATACTATTGATAATGGACAGAGGACCATTTTTGATCACAAAATGTTGCTAATGTGCATGCATCTTGTAAGTTGTTGTAGCACCATTTTTTGTTTAGTATTGCTATTTAAAAAATAAACAATTAGTGAATTGTAACATTTATGAAAATTAACCATGGATTTACTACAAATAAAACCAAAAAAACATGGTTATTTTATTTAAACCATGGTTAACACAAATTAACCATGGTTTGGCTACACTAACCATAGTTTAACCATGGTATCTGTAGTAAAACTGTGGTTCTATCATGACAACTCTCAGAAGATTTTAGCATGGTAATGGATATGACAATGTTCATGTATTTGGTCTTGGTGGAATAGATCTACTACACTGCTGCTGCTGAATTGCTGCTGCTGTTGGTTATTGCTGTAGTTGTAGATTATTGTTGCTGCTGCAAAGCAAAGCAAAGCAAGTACAGGAACTTGCTACTGCCAATACATATGCAGATACGGTGCTGCGAGTATTTAAGACATACTAGATATGCTAAGCTGCTGAATTGCTGCTGCTGTTGGTTATTTTCGTTAATTGTAGATTATCGCTGCTGCAAGCAAGTACAGGAACTTGCTACTGCCAATACATACACAGATACGGTGTTGTGAGTATTTAAGACATACTGCTGCTGCACAAATAGCATATATAATAACCTGTAGCAGATCTATACAGGTGGAGCTGGGGAAGGTGGAGGGTTTTAGAGGAACTCTGAAAGCGTGCTGCGAACAGCTCTGCTGAATGCTAACCAGCCATTTAAATGTAAAGCAGCAAGCTCATTGGCTGCGTATGCAACATAAACCAATCAGATTGTGCCAAGTCATTTAACACTGTGAATATAATCAGTTTACATTAAGGACCCATCAGCCTGCGCCATCTAGAGTTTCATGACAGAAATTGTAAAAAAAAAACATGGTTACTACATTTTTACTATAGTAAAACCATGGTTAATTTTCATACTGTAATACCTAAATTCTTTATGATTTTATAATAATCATGTATCACTATTTACTGTACTGCTCTGCTGGTTGGTATTATTGTTAAATTATACTAAAATCAACTAATCATTAATAGGCAATAAAGGTAATAAATACTTTATTGGTTTAGTGATTTAGTAAAGTCCATTGTTAGTTCAATAAGACAAGGTATAACTTAAACAGAGATCTATGAGCCCAATCTACCTTTTGTTTACTCAGTTGAGTAACCGCGATCAGTGTAATTACAGACGGGCACAGTTAAACATTTGGACAAATCAGCTTTCTAAATGCTCTGACTCAGACAAGCACAGACTGTTTCCTGGTATGACCTGGATCATCATTCTCATAGGATATGTAGCTGTTCACATTTGTCATAATTGCAACTAAATAGGCCAGAGGCTTAATCTTCATGCACCTTGGGGAACCACAAAACGAAACTCACCAGCCTGTCTGAGGACGCCAGCTCTCTCTTTGTCTCTACAGAAACTCTTAGGTGGTGAACCGGAGGAATGAACTGAGGTTGCGGACGCATCGGTTTGGAGAGAAGGTTCTTTGAGTTTAGCATGGACTTTTGTAGACCCCATGCCAGTGCATTGGTCTTCAGATTGCAGATAGCTGGTTGAATCAGATTGTGAGGCCGGAGGTGAAATCGATGCACTGTGGTGTTTAACTCTGTCTTCTGATTGAGCTTTGTCCAAGCGAAACTTTAGCGAAAGAGAGGTAGAGCGAAGCTTCACTCCGAATGCATTTGTAGCCTCTCTCTCTTTTCCCACAGTCACATCTTCCATCACATCCTCAACTGCCTCTTCTGCCACCTCCACCTCCTGTACTCCTTCTTCAGTAGCCTCTACCCCAATCTCCTGCTTCTCGTTGTCCTGACTCTCCTCCACATCCGGGGCCCGAGGATGGCTCTTTGCTAGATCAGTGAACTTTGTTGGTATCACTGGAGAAGTGTCCGTTTTTTCTTCCTTCTTTGAAATTGGTGGGAAGTTAGCAGATGGGCCTTTTATTGTTTTCTCGACTTGTGAACTTACTTGCCACTCTATCTTGATATTTAAAGGAGGTTTGGCAGGAGATGGAGGTTCCTTTTTCAGTCCAGCTTGTCCAACTACTCCAGTGAAGCTTGCAGTCCTCGGCCGCTCTTGACTCTTGTCTGAGGAGACATTAAAGTGGAACGATCCAGACACAGTTCTTTGGCGCTTTATGGATTCTGTTTGAGTGTGATCTTCATGACTAATAGCTGACACTGTGCTGACTGGCTGAAGGGTCCTGGACTCATGTTTGTCATCTGTGGAAGGTATATTTCTCCTCAGAGATGATGGTCTCAGGTTTACTCCACAAATCACATTGGTTGGAGCATGAGTAGAGGCTGGGCTTTTCTCTATATTTACTGCATTCTGAACACTGTTTTTGTCCATCTTGGTTTGTATTAGCACAGCATTAGACTTCTCATCTTTCACAGGACTCAGTTCTGGTGTGGTAGTTACACTTGGTCTTACAGTTGACACAATGTTACTTTGGGTGTTCTTGAGTAGTTTGGAGCTACTGAGCATCTCACTCACTTCTCCTTTTCCCTTTTTGTCAATTGGCACCACTGAGATTGGTGGTTTGGCTACTGGTGACGCAGCTGGAGTTGTTTCCTGTAGGCTAGGGCTTGGAGGTGATGTGGACAGGATGTTTCTCTCAATCTCAGGTTCAGCAGAAACTTGTCTAATATCTCCAGACGTCTGCAGAGACATTAAAGGTGAAACTGGAACTGGACTCTTGATTTGTGAAGTCGTAAGCCTCTCCCCCCGTAAGACCTGTGAGGAATACGAGCGAGTGCGAGGTATCTCTTTTACAGAAGTCTCTTCCTCCCTAGTAGTCAGCGATCGGTCCAGATTGTTCAAACTCTCAGATCGTGCTCTGCTTCCAGCCTACACGGGAAGTGCAATGTACAAATATAGAAAAATCTATTAAATATGAACTGTTGGAATATGAACTATGTGAACTAAATATGAACTATATGGAAAAGAATATTTTAAATTTCTGTTCTTCCACAAGCATTAGAGTTCTTCAGGAATAAGTCCTAAAACCCAGAAATGAGGATTTTTGAATTTCTGGTTCCGTTGTCCTCAAGTCAAAGGGTTTTTGAAATAAGTTCTGTGCTTAACACAAGCTCATGATATTTCCACATTTTATTCTACAAAATAAAATACATCAGTAATACCCCACTCATGATTTTATTTTTGCATTTTTCTTGATAGGACAGTGGAGATCTGACAGGGGGAGATCTGAGTGGGAGAGAGAGGGACGAGATCGGGAAAGGTCCACGAGGCGGTATTCAAACTCGGGACACCCAAAGACCAACTGTGCCATATTTCTGCGTGCTGCCCACGAGGCTATCGGCACAGACACTCTTGATTTTTAAAAGTATTTAAAAATAAGGTTGTTAACAAGTGGCTAAATGAGACTACAGAGATTGTTAAGAACACTAAACATCATCACGCCAAGCACGTAAACTTATCTACTAACTAGTCCACTTTCACAGCCTCGTTGTGTTTACTTTTCTAATTATTCTAATTCAAGCTTTCCAACTTGTAGATTTAAAATAAAGACTGAAAGAGTTGTCAGAAGATTACGCATGTTGAAGTTGAAGTTGAAGTTGCGCATTGTGTAGTTTGTTTATAGCCTAACTTTAGCTTTTTACTTCTGGCGATTGTATTTAGGTTTTAAAATTTATAAAGGCTGATGAATTTTTGATGAACAAAACTTGTAAGAATCACAAACTTTTGTTGGTCACAGAGCTTACTTCCTACAATATTTCAAAAGCCAGTTGAAAAATTAGACTGGCTTTTTGTCGAGGGAAACTGGGTGATGCTAATGGATACCAATGGATAATAAGTTTAGAAGGGTCCATTAAAAAGGCTCACCGAAGTGGTCACCCTCCTGTTCTTGGCACTGGCTCTTTGGTTCTTAGGTTTGAGGGACATACGGTGACGGGCAGCAGAGTTGTCCAGGAGGGAAGTGAATTGTGGAGGAGTGCTGAAGGAAAGGGGTGCAGGTGTTGGGCTGACCAGCTGAGGAGAAAGCGGCTGTGAAGAAGCCTGGAAGGAAAGGAAAAGAGACATTAGACAATATTTAGGACCAAAAAAACACATTCAAATTTAAGCCATAAATCAAATATATGAATGACAGGTATAATGTCAACACTGGGGTAGTAGCAGCAGTAATGGAGACACAAAATGAGCCACACAAACTCGTGAAGATGTTTGAGTAATTATAGTCTGAAAGGCCAAAGCTATGCAGAAAACATGCATTTAACACTAAAATACACTATGTCACAACAAAGATACTGGAATGCTGCTTTATTATAGTTGAAGCACCTTGTTCGATATGCTCATGTATAGTCCTTCTCCACGGGAAACTTCAGAGGGGCTACGAGGAAGGCTGTCATCTTCTGAACTTCCACCTAAGTCTTCATGCCGTTTAATGGGCAACAGAAGTGGGGGAGGACTTAAATGCAGCTTTTGCTGCTGGAGTTTTATCTGATCAAACAAAATAAATCATCTTAAAGTCTATTCGAAACATTTCCGTCAGTCACACTGATGAGTGTTTATAAAGTGGGGCATTTTAGCTATAATAAGAATGTTTTGAATGTGTTGTCTGTCTTACCTGCAGAGCTCGAATTTTGCCATGAATGTTCTCTTGAGACAGAATTCTTAGTGGTTCAGGGTCTGAATGACTGTGCTCTGCATAAAAAATGCTGTCATTTGAAAATGCCCGGGATCCCAGCATGCCTTTGGAGCAACTTTGAAGAAAAGATGTAAAAAGCAAAGAGGGGCATGTTATCCCTTGTGATTTTTTTTTTAAAAGAGCATTTGTTATGGAAATAATATATACTTTACATTTATTTTAAATGCATGCATTTATTTTAATAGCACCATTTTGGAGAATATCCGCTGGACGTAAACAACGTAGGCTGTTCTGTGTCAGCTGCGTCACACGGATACGCTGTTTTCGTTCAGATCAAATCACAACAACGTAGGAAACAGATCCGGCATGACGCAGCTGACACAGAACAGCATACGCTGTTAACGTCCAGCTGATATTCTCCAAAATAGCACTACAGGGTGATGCGGAGGAGACGAATTGTTGAATAAAGTTGTTATTTTTTTTCTTTTGCGCACAAAAAGTATTCTCTTAGCTTCGTAAAAATTACGGTTGAATCCCTGATGTCACATGGATTGTTTTACCAATCTCCTTGCTACATTTCTGGACTTGGGAACATTTCAGTTGTATTGCTGTCTATGCAGGGTCAGACAGCTCTCAGATTCCATCAAAAATATCTTAATTTGTGTTCTGAAGATGAACGAAGGTCTTACAGGTTTGAAACGACACGAGGGTGAGTAATTAATGACAGAACTTTCATTTTTGGGTGAACTAACCCTTTAAACTTTACATTATTACTTCAAGTGAACTTTACAAGTAGAGTTTTTTTTAAATATACTTTTAAGATTTGAAGTACACTACATTCAATGCAACGACGTACATTTCATTTTCACAAGGGATCATCAAATCGTGTATAGCTTTTACTTGCTTCAAAGTTTAACTTTATGATCAAACATTGTCCATTTTTAATTTGTTGATGTTAACTTTGGTGAGTTTAGCTTTTCTTCAATCACACCATGCTGACTCTGTTAACACTTACTCTGAGTCGTCCACACTCAGTGTGATGTCACTTTCAGACTGACTCGGCTTCATGCCACTATCATCCTGTTTCCTCCTTATCTTCCCAAACAGGCGTGACTTAGACTTTAACCTGGACTTCTTCCTTCCTAAACATTAAACATATCATGCCTTTAGAATAGTATGTCATATATTATAAAAAACTGAGACTGGATTAACTGATGACAGCATTGAGCTTTACTGAAAGATTTCTGACCTGTTAAGTCGTCACTGCCTTCTCCCTCTGGGTCTCCTGAAGCCTCCAGAACATTCATCTTCACCGGTACAGCTCTTAATGAGGACTGTTACACAGAAATCAGATGAGACAGAATGAGGAGTAAAAAAGAAATACAGGCGGGGTATGGAAAGCGTCAGTGGAATTATCAAAGGGAATGTTCTAGTCTAATGTAGTAAGACAATAGCAAATTATGGTTTACTTACTATTAACTGTTAATTGTTGTTCTTAAATTCACAATAAAGTAAAGTAGTTGTTCTACCAAGGAGAGCAGCAAACGAGTAATTTATTGACATGTAAAATACTAGAGGAATGGCTTATCTCTGGTGTGGCAATGTGGCTAAATTCTGGATCTGATAACAGAAGGCTTTTCTCAACCCAACAGAGACCAAAGGTTTCTTCTGCAGTCATATTTTCCATGTGTTTTTCCATTACTGAAAATTATGGATGTTATGTTAGTTTAGAGCATACAATACTGTTCAAAATTTGAGGACAGTAAGTTAATATTTTTTGAAGAAATTAATACTTTAATTTAGCAAGGATGCATGAACTTGAACAAAAGTAGCAGTAAAGACATTTAAAAAAAATTCTATTTCAAATAAACACTGTTCATTTGAACTTTCTATTAATCAAAGAATGCTGAAAAAAATTTATCCCAGTTACCACAAAAAATAATAAGCCTGGAGTAATGGCTGCTGAAAATTCAGCTTTGGGATAAATACATTTTAAATAGAAAATAGTTACTTGAAATTGTATCAATATTTCACAGCGTTCCTGTTTTTACTGTATTTTTGTTTTGAATGGTAGTGTATATAAGTGATTTTTTGTTTTACTTTAATTAAATCTGTTATGTGCTGCATGAATCACATATTAAATGCAGACTGTGTTAAATCAGGGGTCAGTAACCACAGGCATGTGTGATACCATTGGCATGCAAGCTAGATTGTTATTTATTTAGTACTCTTTCCTCATTGTCAAACGACTTGTTTAGAACCAGTTGTCTTGTTTACATAGATATTAAGTGAAATATGTGAGACTGTGTCCTTTATTTGGACAATGTGCCTCACACTTATTTCAACCTTATACACGTCACTATCCTTTATTATAACAACAAACCTTTCTTATCACTGACCATGCCTTGATAATGCAGATATGCAACAGAAAAAAAAACATGCAAAGTCCACCCAGTCCATCCCTTTTTTTGACATTTGCTGCTCTGTGTTTGCTTTCCTAATTTACACAGAAGAAACTCCAACATGTTTCTTAGTGTTAATTGTTAAAATTATTAAATAAAATATGTCTCCATGTTTGAGTACACAAGATTGAATTCTCATGTAGTTGAGGGATTTTCTTAAAAACATTTGGGGGGGAAACATTACGCAGACATTTTTCCTAAGCAGTCACTGCCATGTCAACAAGGCTGATACCTACAGTAGCATCAGACACAAATCACACAGAATATAAAGATAATATTTGTGCTGGACGACACTGCATAGAGATCAATGTAAGCATTCACACAGCACTAATCCTGCAACTACAGATTAATCGGAAACGTCCCAACTGAAAATACTGCCATGACAAATAAATTCTCACAGAAAAACAATGGACCAAAAACAAACCTTGCTACATACAATACCGTTCATAAATTTGGGGTCGGTAAGAAGTCTGTTGCTGACCAAAGTTGTATTTATTTCGATCAAAATTACAGTAAATCAGCAACTTTATTACATTTTCAAATAATTGTTTTCTAATTTAATATATATTTTAAAATGTAATTTATTCCTGTGATGCAAAGCTGAATTTTGAGCATCATTACTTTAGTCTTCAGTGTCACATGATCCTTCAGAAATCATTTTGCTGATCAAGAAACATTTGTTTTTATTAATGTTGAGGACAGTTGGACAGCTTTATTGTAGATGTTTTGTAGAAACAATTTTTTTCAAGATACTTTGATGAATAAAAAGTTCAAAAGAACATGCATTAATTTATAATAGAGATATTTTGTAATATTGCGTAATAAAATATTTTCTTTCAAAAACAAAAATATTATTGACCCCAAACTTTAAACATTAATACTAATGACTAACTTTGTTTACTTACTGAATATTTATATATCATATATAAATAATGAAATTGCTATGAATGACGCTGTACTATAGTTACCCCGGACAACAAAACATATGTACTTCAAATAATATTAATCAAGATAAATGACATCACTTACTTTGTCAGTAAAAATCCTTCTCTTTCCTCTTTTCTGTGTGATTTAGCTTCTGTTCTTCCTTTTAAAAGATACACATGATGTCCTTACATCTTATGAACCATGGCAGCTCTGTCCCAATCACAACCATGCAGAGAGATGGAGGAACTGAAAGACAGACCGGAGAAAGCAAAATCAGGAGAGGAACTACTGAAAAAAAGGAAGAGGAAAAGGAAAAGGAAAAGCAGGCTCTGACAAAGAGACGCATTGATGGATTTGATGTTTGGCAGTAAGGAGTTGGACACACACTGACTGGCAACTCATGCTTTCCCTGCATGCCTAAGCTTCTTACTAAACACTAAACAGCTTTTGGAGCAGAGAGAGTGTGCTGCTGCTGGCCGAGTGAAGGCATCAACACACCACCCAGCACTCCATCAACAAGAGCAAGTGTGTATATGTTGATAGCAAGAGCATATGAACAGAGCAGTCAGGTCAACTGCAGGTATCCAGAGCATCACATCTGATTTATATTCCTCTTGTGTTTGTAAATGATTTGTTAGAGACAGTTGAAAATATCACTGTTAAGACAACCGAACAACTGTGGTTTGCGTCATGCATTTGCATCCACACGTCAGAGTAGGTCAGTTTTTGTATGCAAATCATTTAAACACCGTCATATTCCACTCAAAGGTCACTTAAGCTGGATGAAAAATTAATCTTCTATTTTTGTGTATATACACTGCAATTCAAAACTCTGAGGTCAGTTTTTTTTTTAGAAAGAAATTATTACTTTTGTATATTTTTTTTTTTTAGATCTGGGACCCATTCATTGTCTTTTTTCTTAAATATCATTATGATTGTGGTCTGAATTTCTTTCTGTGTGTGCATGCGTGCATACCTATGTATGTAAATGCTTTCTTTTTGTAAGGATTTGTTTGTCGAAATATGTGCGTATATTTTATGGTTAAATTCTTTTGTTTCTAAACTTTAATGATTCATCATGTATTCTATACATACTTGACGTACTCTGTATTACAGTATAATTATGCATTGAGAATTTTTTTCTTCTTTATTGTATGTATTTTAAATTTAGCTTGTTTTATTTTATTTTATTTTTATTTACATATATTTTATTTTTAATACTTTTATTCATTCATTTTTTACATTTATTAATTTTTTTTATACATTTTTTAATGTTACAAAAGCTGTTTTATTTCGAATACATATACTGTTCTTTTTAACTTTCTATTCATCATAGAATCCTGAAAAAAGGATTCCTCAAAAACACTGATAATAGTAATAAATGTTTTTGAGCACCAAATCATCATATTAGAAAGATTTCTGAAGGATCATGTGACACTGAAGACTGGAGTAATGATGCTGAAAATTCAGTTTTGCTATCACAGGAATAAACAACTATATGTTTTATTTTGAATTGTAATAATATTTTACAATATTGCTGTTTTACTGTATTTCTGATCAATTACATGCAGCCTTGGGTGACCTTTTTCCAAAAATATTTAAAAAAAAAAAACTATTGAATGGCAGTGCACAATGTAACAAATGTTACAAATATGGGGCAAAATATTAAATTAGTATTAGCCATATTACCAAGTGACAGATGAAGATGAATTTGACATCAACAGTAACATATGAAAATATCATAAGCCTATATTTAGCTGTCTTAACTACATGTGGTTAGTTATTTTATTAATATTTGACCATATCATGGAAGACTAGTCAGTTAATAACCACTTGTTAAACCACATCTGAACCAGACTCATGATCTACTTCTCAGTATTGTGTGCATGACAAGAAATAAATGAGCAGATACTGCTATCTGTGATGCAGAGATCATAAGCATATTTAGATTCATACGCTCAGGTGAGACGGTGGAGCTGAACAGATGATGTGCTTCCTTTCCTTCTGTGCAGACAACAACAGGAGCTTTCAACTCCCTCCTGTGTTACTATAAGTAACTGTGAAAGTAGGCTACAGCCTATTTGAAATGTTTAAAAGGTGAGATAAAGAAATGACAGACAAGGCTCTCAAAAGAAAGCACTGGGTCCATTGTACACGTACATCTAGACATGTACGTCTCCTTCACTGACTTTTTAACCCTAAAAATGTTGCTCTCTCATTAAACTACCCATTATCTCTGAGGATGGAACGTTTTGTATCTGGCGCTCCACAAAGCACAGAGCAGCTTTGCCCCAGATACAGACATAAATCTGTGTCAGGATCCAGAGTTGGCCACAAATCCCTCTCCTTTTCTCCTACTGGACAAAAGTCAGCTCGACATCTGCGTGACTTTCAGCCAGCCTACATTATGCGTCTGGCCTTCAATATAATCCATCTGTCAATTTACATTTTCATATTCAGACATGCATATTGAAGGGAAGCAAAAGTATTCTGCACATATGCCTCTTTCAATGCAAACCAGAATGTTTTACTACTGCTGACACTTTCCTCCGATTATTGCTGGACAAACAAATATATTGACATTGCATGCTGAACTGTTTCAGATATTTATGGCCTGCTTGCTTGCATTCATGCCATAATCTGATTTGATTTATATATTTTCCTTTTAATTTCCTTATGTATTATGTGCATAAAGTATTTGATCAGTTTTCATAGTTGAAGCACATTGCACACAGCTTAGAGATTGTGTTTCAATAAGTATACAGTGTAATAGTAATATATAATGTTTTTGTTATTGTTATAGTAACTTGTTTGTTTGTTTTAGCTAAGGTAATTAAAATGCAATATGGAGACTATTGCTAGTTGTTATAAGGGCTGTAGGTTTTGAGTGATACCAGACAAACATGCTTGTTTCCTCTAGCAGTGGTTTTGTATGTTGGATTCAAACACCTAGATCTCTTAAATTAATATAATTTTTGTGAACTCCGTGTATTTTAGTATTATTAAGATACTGTTATAGTTTTTATTAAAAATTGTAAATATACTAAATTGTTATTTTATTGTTATTGCTGAACAATATTTTGAATTGTTTTTATTAATTTTTTTAATTTCGGTTAAGGTTTTAGTAATTTAGTTGTGTTTTTGTCTGTTTTTATTCTTTTTTTCTCAAATATGTCTACGTATTATATTTTCTCAACTATGTCTACATAGTTTTTATTACATTTATTTCAGTTTTATTTTTTTTTATTTTAGTACAAGTTAAAGTCAATGAAAATGAAAAATGTTTCCTTGACAACTAGCTGTATAAACAAAATAAGTTTTTTTTTTTTTTTTTATTTCAGTTAAAGTTTATTTTATTCCAAGTAGTTTATTCCAAATGTTTTTTATGGTTTTAGTTTTAATTAAGTTTAGTTTACATGTTCAGTACTACAATTAAAATTAATAATAACTGTTGGGTAACAAGTAAGCACACTGTATAAACAAAATAAGTTTTTTTTTTAAATTTTATTTCAGTTAAAGTTTATTTTATTCCAAGTAGTTTATTCCAAATGTTTTTTATGGTTTTAGTTTTAATTAAGTTTAGTTTACATGTTCAGTACTACAATTAAAATTAATAATAACTGTTGGGTAACAAGTAAGCACAATAAACCACACTAAGGTACATTCAGACAAAATTCAACTATTAAATGGAGGGAGATTTTAGGGATTTTTTTCATAAATGATCAGGACAATTCGTCATGTGTTTCAATTTAGTAGCCTAATTTTTTACAATTTATTAATTATACAAATATGTTGTAGATTTGTAGTTGTAGTTTTTTGACCCCATGCTTGAAACGCTGCTATTCATTCATGTTCTCACACGTTATCAATGTGCGTTAAATAAACTGTATTTTTTATTCTGTGAAATAATGACTTTATATGTCTACAAAAAACTCAATAAACCTTCCTTGGAATAATATCAACTGCAGTAAAGTGAGACTGCCATAAAAATTATCAGTCAACTTTCTAAGACAGGATTTACGCATGCAGCATCAGGTCAAATCACATCATCACGGTGAATCGCACAAAACCTCTAAAGAACGTTGGTTAAATATTTCACTTCAAAATCATATGATATTACATTTTTGCACCGTTGGGATTATTGGAGCATTGTGACATTGTTTTATGGAAATTAAGTACAACACTTACCCAATAATAAATAAATAAAATTCTCAAAATTGCTAAAAATGCATATAAACAAACAAAAACTAAATTGTATTACAGGGGAATCAAACTGAAGTCTCATGAAAATACTGTTACAATTCGAAAAATCTTAATATGTCCTGGATATGTTTCATGAGATTCACCATCATGACCATCATCACTCCAGTCTGCGCCCTTGAGAGAAGAATAGTGTTATTTAGAGACAACGCTCTATATTTTGCATGAACTGAGATGAGGAGCACATATCGAGATTAAGAGCGATTATAGATTTAATCTCCTCCTGCAGGGAATTCATGCGAGTTTCTTTGCAACTAATGGTTTCTAATATGACAGGCAAAAGAAGCAATAACTCATACAAACATGTCCACGCAAACAAATACAACACCACCACCGACTGCTTTTGATTTAACGTTAGTTATTAAAAAACAAAATCTATATAACCAGTCACCAGTCCTTTCACAAACAGCAAGCCGTTTATAGTATGAATGTCCCAAATCAAGTCCATATAAATACGAATTTATATAAAGATATTCAAAAACGCATGAAATTATGGGTTATCGTTTGTACAATCAGTGTACATGTCACAATTCCCGCATATTTATGAGCTTCGATTTAAAAACAAAACACAAACTTACCGTAACCACTATAACAACATCTTAAATCAAAATTAACACGATAACTGACACATGCCTGTCCTAAAACTTAATATAAATATAATGTAGTCGCGTATACTCACATACTGAGGTAAATCACAGAGAAAGTGCAGGTGAGGCGATCTCTGGCATTCACTTGCTCTTTAACTGAGCCGGTGGAGCAAAACACCGTCGTGTCAAGCGATACTTTGTTATCCACAAGCTGTAATATAAAGCAAATCATTCCCTTTTACACGACGACTGGAAGCATGTACACTATGGCGTTATTTTAATGACAAATGTCGAGAGCGCATTATTGTAGCGCGACAGCACATTAATACAATGCGCGAGCGCGAATCTCTCTGCTCGTGCGCGGATTTCCCTTGCTCTCGCACAAAACCGGACGCTCGCGCTCAGATACACGCTGCTCTCGCCCAGAGAGAGTGCACGCACTTAAAACGTGTCTCCTCTCACTCAAACTGTGTCCTGTGCACTCTCAAATCTCTCTGTGCTCATGCAATAATGCGCACTCGACATTTGTCATTAAAATAACGCCATAGTACACAGGATGGCGCTGCTGCTGCTGCACAGAATATATTTGCAAAACGTTTTTATTAAGGGCACTTACTAGTGACTAACATTTTTACAGACTACTACCTTATTTACAAATGCACTTCGGTTTTTATTATGATTACAGACGCAAACATATAATAAATACATATCAGTATCAATCACCCCATCATATACTAGTGCATAAATTGTTTAAAAACAGCAGAATAGAAGTAATAGCAATTACTATAGTTGTAATTACTATAATAATAATTCATATCAGAACATTTTAAAACAGGCAATAAAATCACTTTCGCATTATTTAAAAGCTGTAAATGGGATCAAAAGGCACATTTCCAGTCGTCCGGGTTGGTATGTGAGGATTGCATTCGAAATTACGTCCCACAGATAATTCTCCAGACAGTGGAGAAGCTTTTGAATCAAGATTATGTCGTCTTAGTGTGTTTTGTATGAAAAATGTCTACAGTAGTCTCATGACACTCTCTCAGATCATAATCACAGTATCCTACAGAGAAGCGACCCTTAAAAAAAAAAGAGGGGGGGAAAAAAAGTATTTTACATATCCATTATGCAAACACGCACAAATAACAGGTTATTTTTTGAATATTTCACAAGTTTATGTTTCACTTAGGTGGTACCTTTGGCTTTTTGAAATAATCAAGTCCCCTGCCGATCTTAATAATCCAACCATTATTAAACCTGAGAAAACAAAATGAATATATAGAACAGAAAGAGTATAGGCACATTATCCTCCAGTGTGTTTTGTGTAACATACAGTAAATGAGAATGTTTTGAGATGTACCTGATCTCCCTGTCATGAATAGTAGATGAGTACTGGATGTCCAGACAGACATTTTGACTCTGTAGCGACTGCTTTATTTCTGCCAGGGCACTGGTTTGCTGAGCAGAGCTGTCCTGGAAAACCACAAGATTAAGGTCAACTTTAATGGAAGCCTCTGATGAACAAAATGCTAAACCTTGCACATTGTTTTGTGTGTGTGTTAGTCAATGCAAACATAAAACGATTTGTAGAAGTTGGAGAACCTTACCTCGTCCTGTGAGGTCAGAAGGTGAATCGTCTTTACTTTACACTGGCATTTCAGCAGCATTTCACAGAAACGAAGGAAGTTATACAACTACAAAGGAGAATATTTGTAATTTATCATTCTGAGATATATTACTGCACTTATTATTCACTCTGTAGTCTTTTGTACTATACTGTATATTCTGAAGCATCACTGTCATCTCTACCTGATGGACATGCCGTACATAAGGGTCCTCCACCCAGACTTCAGTCAGTCCGTCTCTGATGTAGGGTTTCAAGAGGGATTCATAGCTGAAACCAGTGGAACTGTCTGCTATCTTTATCTGCTCATGGTATTTACCCTCTGACAGACGAGATAACAATGAGAAAACTGAGCCGATGTGAAGAGCAAAGGTGGTTTAAGCCAGGGGTCTTCATTCTCTATATATATCTATATATTTTCATGCATAAATACCTCATTTATACAGTAAACGATTAATATTGTAATTGTGTTTAAAGTGTTATTTGGGAAATACTGTTTAATAATTTCTGTACATTATTAAGTGTTTTCTCCCTACTCATACTGTTAGATATATTAATTCATTATTTTATTTATTTATTTAAACCATAGACTGTGATTTAAACCAAAACTGTAACACTTATTTATTTCAATCCAATTATGTACTAATACACTGAACAAATTTATAAACGCAACACTTTTGTTTTTGCCCCCATTGGAGACTAAACAATCTGTACAATGAAATAAACTTATTTGGAACAAACTCTTTACTGTGACCCAGTTGAGGTGACAGATGGCAATAATACAAACTGTGCAAATGTTGATTACTTTGAGAGTAACTTTTTTGTTATTGTTATTTAAGTTATTGTCTCTTATATTGTGTGGAAACTTCTGTTTAAATATATATTATATATATATATATATATATATTATCAAATGTGTTTATTTTAGAAATGTATTCATTCATGTATTCATACAAATTTATTTATTTTAATAAATTTATAAAAATGTATTAATTTATTTATTATTATTTTTTAAATAGTTTTTCTCCAAACTTTTTCCACAGACCCTTGCAGCCCCCTGTAGGTTCCCGGAGCCCAGTTTGAAACCCCCTGGTTTAAAACGCTTTATTGCTTAACCTACCTTCTTTCAGTTTGTTCACATGGTCTTTGATCTGTTCTGCTCGGTCCATGTAACCCTTGATCTTCTCTCTGTAGCGGACCTTCTTTGAATCATCTTTTACAGCTAGGAAAACAGTGATCATATTAAGACTACCATCTAATTCCATGCATTTACCATTTCCAAACTCTTGGCATACCTTTCAGTACATCCATCAGGAGCTGGATCCCCTCCTGGTAGCACACCAGAGCCTCCTGAAAGCGTGAGCTGTGATCCAGCTCCACGGCTCTCTTTAAGACAGAGATAGCCGAGCTCTCCATGCCTGGGAGGAAATCCTGAGCCATAGCGACTTTCTGTGACAGAAGCAGCAGACTACAACCCGGCTGACAGTTACATGTGCGCTATGTTATTGTGTGGTAACAGAAAATAGTTCTGCACTTGTTAAAGCTCTTTCAAAACGGGGGGAAATTGTTATGAGAAGCACACCAGTCAACACCATCCATCCAGGAAATAAACCTTAAAAACACTCGACTTTGGAGGGCTTTCGTAATCCAAAGTAACACTAAATCAATGAAGGCATATTTACATATTTAAAATTAATTATACGGTGGCGTGTCAATTTTCTTCGAAGGCGAATACAACTTTTGGAGCGAAAACAACCAGTTTTAAATCAGAAGCTGCTGTATGTTTTTACTCTTCCGGTGGGAACTAAAGTGTGACTAGTATACATCCGTTTCTATTATGTTGAAGGACCAGTTCTCGCTTCCGCTGGACAATAAAAGTCCATAAATTAAAAGTCAATAAAATGGTTCAGCCCAGTTATGTTATGAATTATAACGATGCATCATTCAATAATTTATTGTCCAGATATCTACAGAAACGATATTATATATTAAAATTCTGTATTAGATGCATATAGGCCTGCTTAAATTTAAACAAATTTATTTTTTGTTGCATTAGTGAGCTTTTATGTAAAAAAAAAGCCAATGAATGCAATGTGTGCAAATATGTGGCATAAATATGCTGTGCTTAAATGGATTTATAATAAAGATAACATATATCAACTTTAATTGATTTAAATAAATGCAAAGGTACAACTCATGTAGGAAAAAATAAATACTCTAATAGTTAGATTATTCCCATAACACTGTCTTGTGTGAAAAAAAAACATTCCCTGTAATTTCCAGACATTCTCTCAGATCATAATCATAGTAAATCATAGATGCAGTAAAATATCTAAATATGACTGAGGCTAAAAGGGTTGAGAAATGTTTCAGTGAGACAATTAATGTGATTTAAACTGGTTTAAGGGGATGTTTTGTAAATCTAGCATTCAAATATGATTCAGAATAAATTGACGATACAGGATGGTTTTAAACTGCAGCTCATCTACTGAAAGAAAATGTAATGGTGTTGACAGCTCATAGTGTTGTCAATATTATATTCAATTATATTATATTCATATTGGGGGGGGGTGTTCCATGGAACCATAAATGCCAAATAAAAACATTATTTTTAAGAGTTAAAGAACTGTAAAACTAGAAATTTAGAAAATGGCAAAATATTGAATTAAAAACATACGTACTGTGTTTTTCTTTTGCCCTTCTCTTATTACTCACTGAATCCAGTTTGTATGAACATTTTTCCTCTCATCATTTCTCTGTCTTTTTTTCCCTGCTTGTTCATAAAGGGGCAATGATGACCACAAACAACATCAGAACATGTGAATGAAAAGCTGGCTGGGTCGCTCCAACAGTTTTAACAGCCGAGCAAGCCCGTTTTATTCACTGTTATGTGGGTGTAGTAGGGGGTGTTCTTTTAATGTACACAGTTTAAGAGTTGGGTGGAGCCGCATTTAGTGAGGAAGCATTTTATAGTTTAAATGGCTGAGAAGATTGAGTGAGAGCAAAGGACAGATGTGGTTCGGGCAGCCGTGGTGAGGAAACCTAAAGCCTGCTGTCTGACCAGCACCACAGTAACAGCATACTTCCCATTCTTCCTCCAAACCTCAGACCAGCCACGCCATTTCCTCTCGCCAACTGCCCAGAGCTTCCTCCTGCTTTGGCATGAATGGAGGTTGGAGAGTTGTTCAGTCAGTCTGTGTACAGTTGTAACTATGGAATGTAATTCATTACCATGTTTTTGTGGTGGATCTTTTTATTTTCTGTGGAATAGCATCCTTAGTAAATATGTGGTCATAATATTGTAGCATATGTGCAGTTCACTGCATCCCGCTGCTATAAGAAGGAAACTGTGTCCAAAATAGCATGTTTTCCTGGAAACTAAAAGCAGATTGGCCTGATCGGGATGAAGCGATGATAGATGTTTAATAGAAGTTCATTTTAAATCTCTGACTATAAACTTAATATTATTAACTGAATATTTTAGGCGAAAAAAATACATTTTTAAATAAATAAAGAAATGAAATTTTGCTTGATGTCATATTAAAGTAGCCTAATCATGCATTGTCATGGAACGTGCAGTGAGTCATAAGTTGATGCAGGATTCGTCAGACTGATTCAAATCGGTAACTCGGGTTGAGTGTTTTGATTACAAGACAGTCTATGGAACCGACCCATGATGCATTGTCATGGAACGTGCAGTGAGTCATAAGTTGATGCAGGATTCGTCAGACTGATTCAAATCGGTAACTTGGGTTGAGTGTTTTGATTACAAGACAGTCTATGGAACCGACCCATGAGAATCATTTGTTCGTGAATCGGACTATCATTTTGTGTGTGTGTGTGTGTGTGTGTGTACTTGTTTATGCTACATTGTGGGGACCAAATCTCCCCACAAGGATAGTAAACCCTGACATTTTTTACATTGTGGGGACGGGCCTGCGGTCCCCACAAGGGGAAAAAATTAAAATAGCAAATGATGTTTATCTGAAAGTGTAACAATGCAAACAGGTTTCCTGTAAGGGGTAGGTTTAGGGTTAGGGATAGAAAATATTGTTTGGTCAGTATAAAAGTAATAGTGTCACACCCCTGTGTACTGTTGATTGTGGTTTCTCCCTCTGTGTCCATATTTGGTTATTCCTGTTCTCATTATTAGTTAATCACCTCATTGTGCTCACCTGTCTGCCCTCGTTATCTGCCCTATATCAGTTCCTGTCGATTATGTTCTAGTTTGTCGGTTATTGTGAATGTTACCGTGTGCGTGCGTACGTATGTACATATGTATGTGCGTGCGTGTGCGTGTGTGAGAGCGCAAGAGAGCGAGACACCTGTCTGGGTTACCTATTGTGGGTTAATTAAAGTGATTATTGGAATTCTCCGTCATCTTCGTTGTCCTGCCTGTTTCCACACACCGTCTCGTGACAAATAGAAGTCAATGGAAAGTCCCCACAATTCACAGAAACAAACGTGTTAGTGTGCAGGTTCAAGAAACAATGCAGCAGTAGTCAGTGTGGTAAGTCATGTCAGAAATGTCATGCATTTAAAATTAATTTTAACATTAATTTTCATTAACGATCTCATTAAAATTGAGAAATTGTTATTGTTAACATTTCTGAGGTAGCATAATCGCACTAACGTGTTCACACCACTTGGTGACCAACTTCTCCAGTTGTTTCCATCATGAGTTCCACAGGGGTATTTGTAGTCTTTAATCAGTAGGATAGGCCCTCCATCAAAAACATGCCTAACATTTTCAGAACTTTGGCTAACGTTCTGGGAAGGTTCTGAATAAAGATTCTTCCAATAATGTTAATAGAACGTACATTCAAAATTATCTGGTATTTAATAGCTAGCATTCTTAAAACATTAGCACAATACATTATTTATGGAACCTTTTCCTGAAACATTTTAGTTGAACGTTCATTTAAGATGGTTTAGAGAAAATACAAAAGTAACATTCTCATAATGTTTGCAAAATCATAAAATGGAACGTTCCCCTTAAAGGTGCAGAAAGCAATTTTTGAAAAACGCTTTTGACCACAGTGTCTGACCGTGTCCCAAAACACACTTGCAGCCAATCAGCTGTAGCGAATCAGCTCAAGGGGAAATATAAATAATTAATCATAACAAGTTATAATTCATTATAAATATTTAGATCTGCTGTAAGTATTTACTTGACCTCTCAGGGTCAACTGTCTGTCAATTCTAAGAACGTTAATTTCCTGGTTAAGGGAAATCACTTTCTTACTGTACAATTCTACACAGAGCCTGTAGCATAAATCTGCATGATTAAGGGAATCCAGTTATGAGCAAACAATGAACAACGTCAAGTGTGATACAAGTAAGACTTTATTAACTACATAAGCACTTAAACTAGTATTCTAATTGGTTGAGATGCACCTGTAGTTATAAATGATAAGAAGAAGGCTTTAAAAAGATCGGTATCAGTGATCGGTATCGGCAGATACTGCTTTCTGTTATCCGCGATCGGTGATCGGCCTCAAAAATCCTGATCGGAGCACCCCTAATGGGTAGGTAAACATTCACCCCATGCAGCGTTCCATTTGTTTTCTATATAACATCCCATTTACTATTTCGATACAAACGACTCAGTGCTGTTCGAATGAATCAAACTGAATCGCAAGCTTTTTGCAAACTGTTGACCGATTAGATCAAAAGAGTGATTTATCCACGATCTGGCATTTCTATTTCTGATTCTAAACAGCTGATATAAAACATACATGATATTATTGCTAGAATATTGTCATAGAAAACTTATTCTCAGTTATTTCCATTGTCATACAAGGATTTATTAGAAATATTTTACTGTCTGGGGTATTTCACTGCGGCTCATGAAAGTGTATACATTATAGTATAAAGCCATTTTCATACAAATTTGCATTAGGAAACATGCAAATGTAGTCAACACACAACATACACCACCAGTTCACACAATCTAATGACTTTTATTTAATGCTCATTGCAAAACTGCTCATGAATAGCAGAGGGCAGCATTACACAGCACATATAGGCTTTGAGTTTGAGGTGAAGCTCATTGTCCAGTAGCACATCTGTGCACTTCATCCATACTAGTTCCTCTGCCTTATGTTTTTTCTAGCAGCAGTTGCCAGGCCAACAGCAGCCATGGTGCGGAAATGATAATGGACAGTGGTCAGAATGGTAGTAACGGTCAGACTTGTTTAGAGAAATGTCTATCCCCTTCCTATTTCTTTTTCTTCCAACCACTAAGTTTGTGTTGTGCTAAAAGCATGAACATTAGGCTACGTCTGCTACAGGGGTGTTATGAACTGTCTTGTTCATTCAGCATATTCTCCAGGCAACCAGAATGAAACCAGAGTTGTTTGTTCATCAAGGTTTTATTTAATGACACATTGCAAACACTGAAAAGTCTAATAACATATTGAGAAAGCAATTATTATCATTTAATATTCTGAAATGCGTAATGTTGCCCATGCATTATTCCATATCACCTGCGATTAAAGAGATTTATCTGTGAGCACAGAGTGCTAGAGAAGCCAAAGTATAAGACCAGGACAGAGAGAGAAAGGGAGAGAGATGTGTGAATGAGCCGTAGAGTCCGAGCGCCAGGGTGACGCAGGCGGCTGCAAGAGAGGGCTTATAAAATGTGAATCATCTTGCACCCTGTTTTTAGCCAAACCATGAAAATGCTGGAATGAAAGGGCACTTAATTTAGACTCCTCTTTTTTAACTTTCCTGTGGCTGGCAATTCATGCATGGCAGCAAGCAGACCGGATTTTGGGAGAGAAGGCAATGGGAACAGTTCGGCCAGGGGGCGGCACCTTACCCA